GGATTGCCTGAGCCCGCGGGTTCGAGACCCTCCTGGGCAACTTGGTGAGACCTCATCTCTACAATAAATCAAAAAATTAGCCGGGCATGGTAGTGCACGCCTATAGTTCCAGCTACTTGGAAGGCTGAGGTGGAAGGATCGCCAGAGCCCAGCAGGTCGAGGCTGCGGTGGCCAGGAGCAGCCACTGCACTCCAGTCTGGGTGACAGAGTGAGACTCCAACTCAAAAAAACACAAAACAACAACAACAACAACAACAGCAAAAACCCTGAATGAAAGCAGGCCTCCTGGGTCCCAGAGCTGAGTGCTGGCAGCATCACATGGCGCTGGGTGCTGGGGGAGGGCTCCTGTGGCACCCACACAGGTCTGGCTCCCAAGGCGGAACCTGACACTGGAGGCCTCCCAGTCCTTCTCCTCGAGCACATCTCATTGCTTAGAGTCTGGGGCTCCCCAGCCACTCCCCATGCCGGGCTCAGCAGTGTCCCTCGGCCCTGGCTTCATTCACACCCCCGCCAGCCCAGCTTGCCTTGGCCTGCGGTTACCTTCCAGAAGACACGGCGCCGGACCACCCTGGTGGAGATGGTCTCCTCGTCGTCGCTCAGGCCGTCACCCTCCCCCAGCTCCTTGTCCAGCTCCTGGTGGATGTGCTTCAACACGAAGCACAGGGAGCCCCTGACTATGTGCATTACATTCTGGCAGCTGACCAGGAAGAAGCCCAGGAGCACCAGGGTGACCAGGAGCTGGGTGATGAACGTCCACATCCTCACTCTGCCTCAGCAGCCCGGCCCTCCGGGAACAAGAGCCAGGTGCCTGGCCGCCGTGGGGGCCCGGCCTCTCATTCTCCACAGGGACTCCTGCTTCCCCTGGGGGTCCCTCCCATTCCCCTCACCCTCCCCAGCTGTCTCTCCCAGGTTTGCTTTCTTGGTCTCTTGCTTTCTCTCTGGGGGCAGGACCCCGAATGGGCGCTCTCCCGAATCACCAGTTGCTAGAACAGCCTGGTCTGAGCGTTCTCCTGCTGAGCAGCCCAGGCTCTGCCTGCGTCTGGGGAACGTCAGGCTTCTATAATTGTAGCTCCCAAACCAGCTGTTGGAGCTGTCCAACTGGGCTAGAAGGAAGCTGGCAGGTGCCCATGTTCTGGACACTGAAAGCACATGTCAAAGTCACTGTGTAGGCGACACCTATGGCCACCCGGCCCCAGAGCTGGAGAGGGGTGGGCTTTCCCTCTCACCTCTCACCTTTCCTGCCTGCCCCTCCCTATGTGAGCTAGAGGGAGTTCTGCCAGGGATGGTAGCTCATTCAGGGACTCTAAAAAATAAGATGTTCCAAAACACGGCTACTTGTGTGTCTCTGTGGGCTGCCACCACAGTGATCAGAAAGATGTGAAGTGATGTTCCCAGCACTGTCAGGATAGGATCAGCTGACACTCTGGATAGTTAAGGGTTTGTTTCAAAAATAGGCCCAAGGGCGAGCGACTGGCTCAGGCCCAGCCCAGGGAGACCAGCAGGGCCCAACATAAGGGGTGGGGCCACCGGAAGCCAGTCTGTAGCTCCCGTCAGCCTGCAGGCCCTCGGTCCCTTCTCTTATGGGCAGAGCAACTTTAAAGTGAAGTGTGTAGCTGGAGTGTCTATTTAAGGCCTGTCCTCAGAGGCTCTTCCCGGGTGAGGCTGTCAACGCCCCCTGAGCAGGAGCCATGGGCGGTACACTTGCATTTGCAGAGCCGATTACAGATGCAGCCACAGCAGCTGTGGCTGGAAGGAATTTCACTTTCTGGATCAGGTTGTTCCTCTCTTAGTAGCAGCCCAGCACGGTGGAAAGATCAAAGATCCAGGACACAGCAAACCTACCCTGCAACTCACTCACTGTGAGTCTTGGGAAGATGGGTGCCTTTTCAGTGCCTCAGTTTCCTTGTCCGTAAAACAGGAGTTCACATGTTCTCCCTACCCCTTCTCAAGACTGCTGTGCCAATCACACAGTTTATGAACACTTCCACCATGACGAACAATGTAAACCAATGTAAACACTTCCACCATGACAAACAATGTAAACACCATAGTGCATAGGTCTGTGTGTTTCACGCACTGACTCAGCCTTACCACAATCCTAACCATTGGGTTCTATCACTTTCCCATGTCACACACAAAAAGGCCATGTATTTTACCTAAGTGAGAAAGTAAGCAAACGACAGAGTGAGATTTCACACTCCTCTCCCTCCATGATCCTGTCTCATTTCAATACAAAAGCACCTGGAGGGGAAAGGCCCACAGCACATGCAAAAGAGCCACTGCCGGAATCATCTGGCATTCGCTAGGTCAGGAAGAGTCCAACTGCAATCTCCCCCAGGCCCCCGGAGTATCCAGTTGGGTGCCATCACCCCAGGAGGCATCCCAAACCCCAAGTCACAGGCATCTCCATCTCCCTGTCATTGTTTCAGAGGTTCAGTGGAAGTGCTAGGAAATGGATGCTTTGCAAACTGTCCCTTCAAGGGCCTCCCTGCTGTCCCTCAGGGCTTGTGAGATGACTGCCAGCAACAGCCGGTCCGGCCATCCAGAGCGTCTGTTTCGGGCTGGGTGTGGGCCACACACACTCGTGCGGCATGAGAATGTGGGCCTGGAAGTCAAGTGGTCTGGGCTCTCCTGGCCCAGATGCTGGCTCATTGTGTGACCTGGGAGAGAGCCCTCGAGTGTTCTGGGCCTCAGTTTCCTAATATGTTGGACCATATGATCCAGAAGTTTTCTCCAGGGGATTCCTTGGGCCATCCTGCCTACTGCCACCGTTTTCTCCCTGCTCCCCAAGGCAGGTTGTAGTCTAGTGTAGTTCTCTGTCCCCTGGACCCAGGAGAGTAGACCTAATTAAGATCACCTGGGAGAAGCAAGAGCAGGCGCCTGGGATGGCCTGATGGAAAGAGTGCATGGGTGGCCTTTGGTGCCCAGGCTGCCTGTCCTGCCCGAGGGCAGCTGCCTGTCTTGCCCGAGGGCACATGTTTGGCAGGGAGCAGGGACTGTGCTAAGTAACACCCATGGGAGCCCCAGCAGCCCTGACAGCCAGCCACACTGGGCCTTCTAGAGCCAGCTTAGCCCACAGCCTTCAGAGGTGCTGCTAGTGAGGTTTGGGTAGGAGGGAAGGGAGAGAAGAAAAGAAACAAGTAAGGAGAGAAGACACCCATTCCTCCACACAGAGATGGTGCTGAGCAAAAGAAAGAAACCAGAGACACAAGCCACATTGTCCAAGTGCAAGGCCCAGCGCGGCAGCTCATAGTTATAATCCCAGCACTCTGGGAGGCCGAGACAGGAGGATCACTTGAACCCAGGGGTTCAAGACCAGTCTGGGCAACACAGTGAGACCTTGTCTCTACACAAAATACAAAACTTAGCTGGGTGTGGTGGCATGAGCCTATAGTTCCAGCTACTTGGGAGGCTGGGGTGGGAGGATCACCTGAACCCAGGAGGTTGAGGCTGCAGTGAGCATTGATTGTGCTACTATACTCCAGCCTGGGCGACAGAGTGAGACCTGACTCAAAAAAAAAAAAAGAAAACCCACAAAAACAAAAATACGGGTGCAGAGAGCAGCAAGGTGTGTTTTATAAGAACACAAATAAAAAAAGATGCCTAGCCGGGCTCGGTGGCTCAGCCTGTAATACCGCGCCTTTGGGAGGCTGAAGTGAGTGGATTGCCTGAGCCCGCGGG